CCTACACAACAGAATCGAAGGTTTTCACTGATAAAACAGAACGTAAGAATAGCTGAACCTGGGTAATTAGTCATCACACGGTGCACTAATGTGCATATCTGTAAAAGACACAGCTCATTTTCAAGCAATTCTGTAAATTAGCTGAGACCATGATACTCGGTGTCATCCAATGCCAGACCCCATTCAAGCGACAAGGGTGCCAACACCTTTGCCCTTAATGGGGCATTTTTGCAAACATCCTATGCATTTTCGTTGCCACCACCTATTAGTCGTGCAAAGGAAAAAAGAGTTTCAATAAGAATGAAGTCCCCACACACAGTCTCATAGCCATACATTTCTGCTTGTGGTCCAGAGCTCCACTGGGCTGGACCTGCCAGAAGGAAGGAGTGCGGCAGCAAGAGGTCCAAGCAGGTGCTGACTGGTGAGCCGAAGTGAGATGCTGGAAGCAGGATGGTGACAGAGAGATGGGAGCCCAACTCCGACAGGTGTTGCACAACTCTGGGATGCTGGGCAAGAGCGGCAGATGCCACGGACACACCCCCATCCGGAAGGAGTAGGTGACTGAGCCGGCTAGGAGGTGGAGAAGCATTGTGGCACACAGCGACAGGCCCTGCAAACTGTGGCTACGGCCACAAACCAAAGGACAGTCTTCAAATGCATACAGTTCGGAAAGGATCACTGCTGCGTATCATGACTCTAGACACCCCTGCGTCCCTGGAGAGAAGCACAATTGGTACTGTCATCCACTAATTAAAGGCTAATGATGACAGCTGTTTGATAACACCTGAAATTAATGAAGGTAACTGTTTTACTAGAAATGTATAAAAACAGAAGAGACTACTTCAACAATTTTAGGCTTAAACCACCTGTTAGTTCTAATAGGAAAACTTTTGTTGTTATTTTCCTGAGTGTAGAATGGGCTCTTGTTAGCACAGTGCTTCTGTGGTAGTAGCTACGCTTTGTTAAAATTCTCATCTGCTTTCAAACTACGAGTATTTCTCCATAACAATGAGTTTTCTGCTGAGCTTCCTAATGTAGCATCAGAGAGAATGCTTGGGTTTTGAACACAAGACAAAATAAGAACGTTGGTCAAGAGGTCAACACGAGGAAGTCAACATGTTGCCTTGGAGAAAGAAGAAAAATGAACTCTAAAAGCTTTTTCAAGACAGGAGTTGTAAAATAATGCAAGTCCTCTTAGGATGACTGCGAGCTTGGGAAGGAATATGTTGTGTCTACCACTAAATTCTGAAGGTTTTGAAGAAAAAGAAAATAAAAGAGCTTTTTGATTAAAAAGGTATTTATCTTGGGTCTTACTAAGTTTTCTTGATAGTTATTGAATTAAATAAGAGAAATGGGCCTACATTATAGCATAAAAGATTCAGGTAAAGGATACATAAGAGTGTTTTGACTCTGAGGCGCTGAAATCTCCACAGTAAGATTAGTTCACAAAGAGAAATGTGGAGCTCAGGGAGAAAATAGGCGTTTAATAAACATTTGCTCAATATATGAAGAAACTGGGAGAGCCTAGACACGATTCAAAAAAAGTCACACACAGACAGGGGACTCAGAGAGCCACGGTCCATTCTGAACGGAAACTAACAAGCGGAGTCGAAGGAAAACAGATCTCCCAGTCCTGCCTCCCAAGGTGCCCTGGGCTCTCCTGGCTGTGAAGGACATTAACTGACGACTACTTCTGCTTCCCTCCGTTTTCCAGAACAGCTGGCCCGTCTACCTTTTTCCTCTCAGAAGAGGCCAAAAAGGAAAACTCTGCCATTGGTTGAGGTAGTCACATGTTCCTTTGACAGGTTACCAGGACGTGGCAAGCCCCTCCACTCCCACCCTCATGTTTCTTTACAAGGGAGGGGACACAGAAGTTGTCTCTGCGAGGTCAGTCCTTCGGGAGGGAGCTGAGCATGCACCGCATTTGCACGGGAGGCCGGTGATATGGTATTCAAGGGATCATGTACCACCATGAAACAATTTCAGCCCAGGTGCTGTTGTCATACACGCTACCTAGGACACGGCACGCGGGAGTCTGCCACGGGAGCACGCCTTTGAGAGCATGTTGCAAAGTGTGGTGCTTCACTCAGATAACAAGGTTGTCTACAGGAAGGAGAAGATTGGAAAGCTTGTGTGTGTGTATGGAAGACCACGTGCAGTTTTGGAGCTACGATATGGATTTGTAGAGAAGATAATAGTTGTGGTCAGGTCATATAACTGATAGCTTTGGGAGTTCCTAGATGTTAGATACACAGTTAAATCTGGGTTCTAAAAGAACTGGACAATAAACACATTCTCTACCAAGCTACCCAGAGCCACAGCAAATTCTGAGGTAAAAAGAAGAAAGCATCATCACTCAAATGTAGCATCTTTCTTGAGGACCCTGTACTGATAAATGGGGGAGATTCCCATGCAAACATCAGCAGCATAATAAATACATCAAAAACATTTCAGACAGTTATATGTACCAACTGCATTACAATCAAAATGATGGCCTAGGTGATCCTTCAAAGTGTGTAGTGTTATAGATTTCTGTTATTCAATATTAAAAGGGTTCACCACTAATATTCTGTGAGGGTTTTACAGACAACACAAATGAGGGCTAAGGAGCTAGATCTGCTTCTGTGGCCAGACCCACCCTAGTGAAATTAACCAGAAACTTAAACAATTTGTTCCTTAAATTCAAGGAAATAAACCAAAGCACCTTAGCCTTAATTATCACCTGGACATTTCTTTTGATCTCAATATTGTGCTTAATTTCTATAACATTTGTTGTGTATAAATGCGCCATAATTGTAAAGACAAATACTGTCTCAATTTGTAAATCCCACAGGCAAAAAGTGGGCAAAGGACATAAACAGAAACTTTTCAAAAGAAGAGAGACTAATGGCCAACAAACATATGAAAAAAAGCTCAACATCTCTAATCATCAGGTAAATGCAATGAAACCACAATGAGATATCACTTATCCCACTGAGAATGGCCTTTATCAAAAAGTCCCCAAACAATAAATGTTGGCACAGATGCAGAGAGATAGGAACACTCATGCACTGCTGGTGGGACTGCAAACTAGTACAACCTCTGTGGAAATCGATGTGGAGATACCTTAAAGAGTTACAAATAGATCTACTATTTGATCCAGCAATCCCATTACTGGGCATCTACCCAAAGGATAAAAAGACATTCTATTAAAAAGACATCTGCACTCGAATGTTCGTAGCAGCACAATTCACAATTGCAAAGATGTGGATACAAACCAAGTGTCCGTCAGTACATGAGTGGATTAATAAAATGTGGTATATATATATATATACACCATGGAGTTCTACTTAGTCATAAAAAACAATATACACCATGGAGCTCTACTTAGCCATAAAAAACAATGGTGATCTAGCACCTCTTGTATTATCCTGGATAGAGCTGGAGCCCATTCTACTAAGTGAAGTATCAGAAGAATGGAAAAATGAGCACCACATGTACTCACCATCAAATTGGTATTAACTAACCAACACTTAAGTGCACATATAGTAGTAACATTCATCCGGTTTCAGGCAGGTGGCAGGGGGGAGGAGGAGATGGGTATATTCACACCTAATGGGTGTGGCGTGCACCGTCTGGGGGATGGACTTGCTTGAAGCTCTGACTCGGGTGGGGCAAAGGCAATATATGTAACCTAAATATTTGTACCCCCATAGTATGCTGAAATTTAAAAAAAAAGGAAAATAAAAAGAATCCCTTTATCTAATATGAGTGGTATCTAATGATTTATAAAATTACTTCAGTTCAAATTTTAGCTCAAGGGCAAGAGTAAGATGAACAGACGAACTAAATAAAACCCTTGACACAGCTATTCACCTTTCTACTGTAAAAGATCATGACTGACTACCTCTAGAAGAGTTAGGTCAGTGTGCTTAGTAATATAAATAGAGAGTACACGTTAATAGTGTCAGCTGTTCTAGTCAACCAAAAAGGAAAAGTCAGCAGAGGTGACTAGCAACTTGTGGTCTATAGCCATTTTTATTTCCTAAACTGACCATATATCTCCTTGACTTGAGAATTTTTAGGTTCTTCATTCTGTAACATGAATACAACTTTTTAAGACTATATCTTATTAATGCTACCTATAGAATTAAAGCCCATGGTGATACTATTAGGTAGGTGATCTTTCCAGATTACAGATCATTTCTTCCAATTTACTTTATATTTCTTTTCCTTTAATATTTCTGTTTTAAATGTCCTTACTGTTACCATTCTTTTTTTGCAATGTCTTCTAGAAAACTGGCCTGTAGAAATTGTAGTTATATACACTGAATTAGAAACATAAGAATGCAATTGAAACAAAAGTAACACTTCTAAAATAGCCTGAGGTGGCTGGAAGGAAGAAAGCTGGCTGCAAATGTGCATTGAGTATGTGTGCACAGCAGCACTGAGATGTCATTAGAAATGCTACCAATGACTCACATGTAGCTAAAAGAACTTTGGCAACCAGTGAGTGGACGTCAAGAATATGTTAGACAACTCCAAGAAAATCTAGGATGAAAAAGCTGCCAAATACAGAATCCTGTTGATACTCACTCGAGACCACTGAAAGTTAAAAAAATGTTATTTTTATACCACATCCTTGAATACAAATTGTTTTCTAGACAGGTTTTATTAATGTACCCAATGTTTATACATTTTATATTACTTTTTGGCTCATATATTTACAATTTGTTATGTTCTCGAACTGTCATTACTAGTTGTCATTACCACAACATGCTTGAATATACTACCATGTTGTCTATAGTTTGAAATACATAAAAGAATATGTAAAAAAAGTTGACAAAATCAATACATATTATTGAAATAATTATGTGCTTATAAAAATGAAATTATTTTTGTGTTTTAGGATAGGCCTACTTCTTAAAACCATTATTTATTTGAGACAAATATATATATTTTTTATATATATATGGAGTTAGGATCTGAGTTAGGATTTTCCATTTCTAGTTAAATCATACCTTTCACATCTTCATCCTCAATTGTTGTATTTGAACTCTCAGTTGACTCCTGTTGAGAAGAATACATATTTTTAAGTTGCACACCACGAATAGCATAATTTCTTCTTTAAAAAATTGGCTTGTGATATAGGTATCATGCAAAATTCTTCAGCAGGCCGGGTGCATATGCTGACATGCAAATGGACAAATACATTATGTGGTTTTGAACACAAATAAAATGTCAAATGCTGCAAACAATTCACAAAGGGAGTACTCTGGTTGCCTAACCTCTGAAGCAATATAAATCTAGAAGCAGTGGAAGTATGCAGTTTATATGAAGAACTGTGTAAGGATGTGCTGGTATTATAGTGCCCCGTAAGGTATGTGGGTCTATGAGCAATTGAATACATTAGTCAAATGAATTCTAATCTTAAAATTGGACAATTTTTATTTCTAATTAATTAATCAACAAATAGTATCTTCTCTGTGCCAGGCACTATGTCAAGGACAGAATTTGAAGCATATCTGCTTTACTCCTTTATAGGGAGAGAAAGCGTTTCATTGCATCATTCGTAAAGAGGCTAAGAGTATTAAGCTGAGATATGATGAAAGTACTTTTAAAAGGAATTTTCATTTTTGTCATCAGCACAATAAAATTATAATGAATAATTTACTTTCAAGGACTGTTAGATTTTTTTTCATTCTTTTCCAAATTAGGAACTGGCTGCCATTGGTAAGAAACCTGCTTTCATAAGGAGAAGACAAAGATTTTTCTTTGTAAAACTACAAATTAAGTTGAAGATTAATAAACACACTTAAAAGTACACTGTAACTGCCAGTATTAAGATACATTTCTTAAAATGATGTGATAAATATTTCCATTAATAATGTACTAAGTAAATATTTTCTAGCAAAGAAATTTTACAATATTCATAAGAAAGATACAATTTTCTACTTAGAATGATTAAAGGCTAGGGCCAAAAAAAAAAAAAAAATGGAAACGAACTTCTAGTTAATAGCTATATGCTCAGTAACAAAGTCAGGGTCCTTTTAGAGATTCAATATTTTAAAAAGTGATCAATTTCAATAACTATCATATATGATATTTAAACCAAAGGGACAAACTATAATTAAAGATATATCCAGAGTCTCCATGCACACAAAACCAAAGAAAAGTCTTCATGCGTTTCTTAATGTGACCTAGTATTCAAATTTAAACTCCAAATGAAGGTAAATCCATGCATTGTAAAAATAAACTAAATTATGTAAGCAAGAAATATCATGCAGCAACTCTTACACATGATATATATACTTAGGACTATTGCAGTAGCCACTCCAGCAGTTATACTTGGTCTTTCATTTGGTAATGCTATTGAAAAATTGTTCTCATATGTGATGACCCTGCTGCCTCAGTCTTTTATGGAGCTAGAACATTTTTGGTGTCATGACTATAAAATAAATCTCATATATGAAAATATTTCATTTTTTACTTAAATGATTTTAATATTGTTCAACTAAATGTTCAACCAGAGAGGAAGTGTGTGTTCTAAGTCTTAAACACTGTTGACGTGAGTATAGATGACGATACTTAATATTTGAAAAAAGTATAAAGAAATATTTTTTCCTCCCTTTAGAGATAAAATAATGTATGGAAAGTAATAAACTGGAAACATGAAATACATTCAGAAAATATCTCCTTTCATCCTTTAGACATGTATTTAAGTGCTGTTAATTTAGTTAACATGCTGTGCAAATAATTTATAATGTATAGAAAACATTAGTCTTCTTGCAGTGTAAGTAGTTAAAATGTCTGTTACTGAAATGTATATAACTCAATGACACACATATTTCACAAGAAGTGAAACTCCCTGATTCTCCTCAAATTCATGCCAAACAACAGCAGCATTGACACCAACACCAACATCATCATAACGGGGGATTAAAAACAAAAAATAAGAAACCACTCTGACAACAGAATAGGATGAAACTCAAAAGCAACATTAAATTTAAAAAACACAACAACTATGAACTCAAGTTGATATTTTGAAGACAATGGAATGATATTGCAAGAAATTCTAAAATTTCATGCAGAATACGTCTACAGTACAAAGCACAAACAGTCTTGGGGGGGGGGGAAGACCAGATGGAATTGCTTAAGATACACAATCATCTTGACATAAAGACTTCATGAATGTTTAGCCTGACTGCTACTGATTAGTGCTAACATTCACTTCTCTTTCAAGATGCCATTCAGTTTTATTCCAAGTATGTGTATGGTTCCAGACAAGTTAGGTTCCAAAAGAAACATGGTAGCAAAAGGGTAAGAATTTTCTTTCCTATTTTTAGATAATAAATTAGTTTTTGCTTTGACTAGTTGATGAGATGTGTAATCTTGTTAAAGCAAGATGGTGTTGATTCTTTCTGAATACCTTGTTTCCATCAGGGTTGTGGATTACAGTAGTTTGGGGCTCCTGAGTGAGAACAAAATAGAGAAAGAAACAGTAGCATTGGTAAGTACATTCTTTCTAGTGCCAAGGACAGAGCAGAGTGAGCCAGCTGACAAAAGTAAATAGTGACAAGAGCTAAAGCAATGTTAACTGCCGTCAGAAGATGCAGCGGACGAGATCTCTGATGAGAAGATCTCCCTCTCCAGCCCATGAGATATGACCCCGCCCTGCCCAGAAGCAGCATGCAAAAGACCTTATTCTTGATCAGCACACAGACAAGGCTTTGAAGCCTAGAGACTTGAAGAGGCACTCAACTGTTTCACTAAGTCTTCTGTCAGCTAGAGCTTTCATTTCTTCTTTAATGAGTGGCTTGCTAATGTCTATCCAATAGAAAACTGGCCAAGGACACTGGAGATAAAATTCTTTGAGATGATCTCAAATTATTTGAGAAGATACTTTTCAGTTGCATTGCTTTAAGAGCTGATTATGGTATCATTATAATTAACACATACCTGAATACCCTTGGAAAATCTAGAACCATCGGACCACACTTTAAAAACAACTATTCTAAAGAATTTATTTCAAAAGTCCATAAGAAATTCTAAGGAACATTTAAAGGGCTCTAGAGCTAACCACATTATCACTATAATTTGAGGCATGTAGTTGTTAAACTCTGTGTTAATTCATATCTAAAAAATAATTTCTGCTTTATGGACTATATGTACAGAATATTTGGCTGTAAAGTCATGCTGTTCCATGGAGAAAATGTTATTTTTCCTATTGCTTTCTATCAGAAAAGCAAAGAAATATTTCCAAGTAGAAAATAACACTCAAATAACTGATATTAAAAAAGGTTCAGTGTCAGCTGTGATCAACATTGTTTTTCACTAGCAGATAACCTTCTATCTTGATGTGTCCTTCCTTTACATGTTTTTAAATGAAGCCTTCTGGTTAACCCAAGTGAAATAATCTCCTGACACTTTTTATTCATTTAAAATAACAGTAAGAGAATAGCAAATAATTGAAAACATTTTTTAAAATCATAAATCAAAATATTAAATAGTTTGGAGAAAATATTAGGGAACTCAGAGCACTGAATGCCAGTATTCAAATTCTGATTTTAAACATAACACCATCTCAAAGTATTAAACCGATTTAGTTGTTCATTGGGTGGATTTGATTGTAATGGACAAAACTGGTTTCTATCGATAATTCAAAGTTCTATGCTATGCAATTTCATTCTTCGGATTAAAGTGAAACAGTAAAAATTTATTTTAGAACACAACAAACAAAAGCTTTAAATTATCCAGTGCCTCTTTATCTCAGAAAGTAGGGTCTTACAAAGCCCTGTTGTTTTTTAATAAGAGGGAAACAGGAGCTCTGAATAAGGTCCACTTTTATGCTGTCTAGCAATAATCCCTTTAGCTCTCCTCGATGTCAGCATTTACGTAATGAAAAGAAGAAACCATTGTTTGCACAATCTAGAACTATCATCAGAAGAAGAGCTAAGAGCGACCAAAGCGCATTCTACTGTACTTCTAAGGCAGCATGCAACGGTTTCAACTACAGAGGCCACAGCTATCAGTACAATGTTCAACGATGGAATGAGATCATCTCATGTTAGAAACACACTGCTTGACAACTATCTTAACAAAAAGAAGAAGAAGAAAAAAAGAAATGAACTTTTGTCATGTCTTAGAAAGCAAAAATAAAAACAGACAACCCAACAAAAGAAAATATTTACATATGTATCTATAAAGTGAAAGCAAATGAGAGAAACAACAAAAAACAGTAAAGAACTTTAGAAGGGTTACAAAGAGTCCAGGTATACCAGCGCCGGGGTAGGAATATTTTCTTTGGGGCTGGTTACCACGTTGGCTTTGTTGTTTATCTGTGGGTATGCAGAAAATAGAAACAGAGACGCCTTAAACCCCTTGGTAGCCAATGTCTCTACACGTAGCATGTCAACATGGAGATAGAGACATGAAAATAAAGGGCCACTGGAGATGCCCGTGAGAGACACTGCGATGACTGCCGGGAAATGACGATCACTTCTAGTCTCCGCTGGTCACACACAGGCTGGGACCGTGTCTGGGATGGTAGAATGACAAAGCAGACTTGGCCGTGCCACCTTTGCAAATAGACACAAGCTGCTTCAGTGGCGCTCCAATCAGGCTTTAGAGTATGAAATGAACATAACCCTTTTTCATACTCTTCCAGTTGGATTCTGTTTCCAGGCTTCCAATTGTTCACTGTTACGAATACATTCCTTTTGCTTTTTCATTTTATTCTTGAGCCTGAAGTCACACATAGACCATCTTTCTCTGGGGAGCCATCCTTACTTTGTCTAGTAGGTATCCGATTAAAAACTTAGATCTTCTGATGAGATGCAGGTATTACCATATTTAAAAAAAATGATAAGTCTAAGGTCTCCTCTAAAAGTTACACCTTCAATTATAAATGAGGAAATCAAACTCTACTATATGCTCAATGTAAAAGGACTTTTTAAAAAATAATTGTTTGGGAGGAAAATACTATTTTCTGTCAAAGTGCTATTTCTATCACTGAAGAATATATTTGGTAACATTATTCCCCTGCTTGAATATTACTGGATCTGACCTTAAAGAGGAGATCATTACTATTGTGGCTTCCACATGGTGAAAACAACACAGGGGGTCAGTAAGTATCATAATGTCCCACAGAGAAGATTCTTTGCAGCCAAGTGTCCACTTGAAACTACAATTGAGTTTGAGTATTAAAGAATCAAAGACTAAAAAGTAATAATCAACATTCTCTTAAACTCATGCATAACAACTTACGTTATGATTACCAAAACAAAAATAAACATAAGCGTTCATTTTCTTATACTTTATCATCTAGGTATTTTCTTTATATATTATTTTCTAAAGAAATACACTCCCATAATTTTAATATAAATGTATTTAAGGACTTAATGAGAAATATATTCTGCATAAAACAAATGAATACACATGAGTATTTACAAGTGATCACACCAATTTAATTGTGTTTTGGGGAAGTCTATACTTCATACCTATTTATCATATCGAAACTAGCACTGAGAAGAAGATAGAGGGTAACAGAAATTAATTTAGGTATGGAAAATTTTGCTTTTCTATTTATTCACATTTGTGTGGTTATTGGTATCAGTATTATTTAAATAAACAGTAACACTGTGCTCCGTGACATGCAGAAAAAGAGAGGAAACTTTTCATTTCTCCTTTACTGGAAAACTCTTTAAATGTAAAATCATCAATCTATATTTTGCACATAAACATTTTTTTCTTTAGATCAAAGTGAACATAAAATTTGTGCAAAAGCTAAAAAGTGAGAAGACGGAATGGAGTCCATGAAACAGGGGTCAAAATTCAGTATTTATATTAGTACAGGGTACATGAGAAAGGGTACACACAAAAATAGTTTCTTATTCAGGAGAGTGCTTGGCAAAACGTAGCTGGCTTCCTGTCCAGTCATGAAGGGCACTTCTGATTAAAGTCCCACATGTATGTAATAGGCTATATTTAGCTTGTATCAGTGAATGCAAATGAAAGAGAAATGTTCGGAGATACTTTCATTTCTGATTTAAGATACCCGATTTCTTTTCTGGGATGTAGTTGCCAAGAACTGCTTTGTTTTAGTGAAAATGCCCCACATGCACACCTGTTCACACTAACTTACCTGCACAAGCACACACACACACACTGCTACACACACTCACACATAGATACATGTTATACACACACTGTCATCTCTTCCAAACGGAAGCCATTCTGTCTAGAGGAGCCATCCTTTTATTGTCAGCTATGGGAAACATGAGTCTATGTACCTCAACCATCACCTTTGGTCATGTTTAAATGTGCAGTTGAAAGCTTTTTCGTTAATGTGCAAATTAACTTAATGATCATTTTTTACTATGGGAAATCTTTTGGAGGTATATGTAACATTAATTAATTGAAAAGTAGTAAGAGAATTTCTAAGTAAGAGGCCAGAAGAACTTCCATTCACAGAGTCAAATATATATATGGGTTCAACTAGAGCTATCTTTTAAGCATGTAAGAACTCTAGCACTTTTGTCTATTAATGTAATTATTTTATATTATGGAAGCAGAGTATTTTTCTTTTTTAAAAAAACCTGAATTGAACCAGATATTTCTACGATGCGCTACTGAATTACTCTTAAGAGACATGGGTATGATATTCCTATTTCTCAAGTGTTGAACTTATTAATTTTTGAGGTTAATGAACATTTCCTTTAAAGGTACTTAACTAGGGTGAGTCCATTGTGAGATCCCTTTTATATTCTTTATAAACTCCACGGTGAATGTATTATGTGTGTCTGAACTGAGAATCACTTCTGTTTTAGCAATAGGAACATCATTTTAAAAATAATCATCTAGTGTTCCTTCAGTTATCAGTAAACAGACATTAATTATGTCATGGTCTTTTTATTTTCAAAGAGAAAATTGGACTATGTCCTTGTAAAAGATCCAATCAGTCTATAGCCATATGGATATGAGTTGAACTTTTTACATATTTAAAAATTCAGTTTCAGAGAAAAACAATATAATGTGTAAGTGGAGTCCTGTGTTTTTTGATAGTTGATTAACACCAACCTGTAATGGTCCTACACTTTCTCTATTGATAGTGGCTTACATGAGTGAGACTGTTTTCTTCCTAAGTGTGAGTTTTCACAAGAGGAGCAACCTGGCAGGTGGAGATCCTCACCACCCTCTGAACACTCGAACTGGACTTCCTTTTCTGCATTGACCAGTCCAAGAGAAAGGAAAAGAAAAACATATGACCAGTTGAATTTAAAGTATCAAAGCACGGAGTACAGAATAATTTTGTTTTTAAAGAGGAGTGTAAGCGGACTAGAAGAAGAAAAGTTCTGGAAACGTTTCTTTACTATAAGGATAGTAGTGAAAATAAATTCCACAGGAACTCTGAGTTCTCCATCATCAAACAGTACAGAAAAACCCAGGAGAAGAAAATATTTGGAAAATTAAAATACTGCATTTCCTCCAATGTACTATTGGGAAAAAGGGAACAAACATGAACTGGCATTATCGAAACCTAAGTTGAATAAACTAAGCAGGAGAAAGATAAAATTACAGGGTGAAGAAAACAATTCGTAAGTGGGTAAGTGGAAATGCCATCCTAATGGGAATCTCAGGTGTAAGGTCACCAGCATTCGGGAAATGTCCAGGTTTCACACAATCAGAGTGTGAAGAAATGACTGGGCATGAACATTTGAAATGACAACTGATTTTTTATGTTATATTTTCAATAGGAACCGACCATTTGACTTTGGGACAAGTTCAAATGTTAGAATATTAATTAATTCCCAAGAATGTTGAAGTGTTGATGAGGAATGTATGCATCTGTCCTTGGAAGAGAAAGAAAAAGATTAAAGAAATAAAACATTTAGGTGGTAAGTCTGGAAAGATAACAAACATCATTATGCAAATAGAAGGTTACATTCCATCAAAAGCAAATCCCCTTGAAGCAAAATACAATCAGTAGAAAATAAATTGCATTATTTTGTTCAGAAATCCAAGAAAGTCAAAATATCCTGCTGTTATTTTTCTTGGAAGATTTTTATAAGATTTGTGCAGAATATTCACCTTGAATATTTGTTAATACCTTATGAGAGAAACACAGGAACAATTAGGACCTTTATAAAAAATGCCCAAGCAGAGAAATTTTAGTCATTTGATGTTATAGTTTCCATATCCAATGTGAGGTTTTTTTTTAAAGGTTATGTACTTCAGCAGCCTTCAAAAACACATAGCATCATTCATGATTTGCAAAAACATTTGGTTTTATAGATTTTCAGGTCACCATGGACGGAGATTTGGGCAGAGAGGATGTAGACATTCAGTTTCTACAGGAGCTCTGTACTGTATACAAGTGGGTTTTTTTTCATGATTACTTACTATATAATCAGATAGACAAATATATTTCTTGGTGTAAATGTTAGTCATCTTTGTGTATTAAATTATTTCGTATTTCAACCTGCATCCTTTATCAGAAACTATAAAAAATACAAGTTGCACAGACTTAAGACTTATATTTCACATTTAAAAATGATTCAACATCTGCAAGTCAGAAATGGATTAGGAGCACCTGTTTAACTTACCTTCACTCCATCCGGTTTCTTCAACAAACTTTTGGCTGCTGCAAAATGAGAGTAAAATCAGCTTAGTGAAGTCTCCTTAGAAACCCATGACCAGGCAGCAAAACAGTCAGGTCTCCTTCTACCCACCTCTGCTCAGTGACGGCCAACATAAGCCAAGTTATCAAGGTCACACTGATGAGCGCGAGCTTATAGGACATTGAAACACAGTATCCCTTTTCTTGGTTTGCCACAACAAATTTAGAATTAAATTCTTAGGTACTTCATTGGGTATAATGGAACAGTTTGCCAGTTGTGTTACTGGACTTTATTTCACCGGTGGTTGCGAAAAGGATACTGGAACTTTAACTGGACTATCCTTTTGTAATCCAGAAAGTTGGCATCAGTCTGAGACATCAGCTGACAGATTGTATTACATGTTCATTCGCACCACAAGTATGGTGGCCATGTCAGTTCTGCCATTTTAAGACCCTCTTTCTAGAGGCTGAACACTCATTTGGAACAATTTGCTCTGACTAAATAACCTCTTTTTTTTTTCTCTTTTTCTTTTCTTTTCTTTTTTTTTAAATTTTAGCGTATTATAGGGGTATAAGTGTTTAGGTTACATATATTGCCCATGCTAAATAACCTCTTTAACATATTTCTGAAATCAGCCAATTTCAGTTTTACAAAAAATATTAACTGTATTTAAGTGAAATGGCATATTATTGACCTAGAGCAAATTTCCAAAATGCTTAGTCCATCACTTTTTTTAAAAAAAACGGCATCATTGGCCGGGAGCGGTGGCTCACGCCTGTAATCCTAGCTCTCTGGGAGGCCGAGGCGGGCGGATGGCTCAAGGTCAGGAGTTCAAAACCAGCCTGAGCAAGAGCGAGACCCCGTCTCTACTATAAATAAAAAGAAATTAATTGGCCAACTAATATATAAAGAAAAAATTAGCCGGGCATGGTGGCGCATGCCTGTAGTCCCAGCTACTCGGGAGGCTGAGGCAGGAGGATTGCTTGAGCCCAGGAGTTTGAGGATGCTGTGAGCTAGGCTGATGCCACGGCACTCTAGCCCGGGCAACAGAGTGAGACCCTGTCTCAAAAAAAATAAATAAATAAAAATAAAAATAAAAACGGCATCATGTATTCTTTTATACTTCAAAATCAGAATACAAAGGCTTCATAAACAAAAGCCTTTACATTGAAAAGGTAAAAATCATAAAATTTGAGACAAGATATAAAACAAAAGGAAATCTTCAAATAAATCAGAGAAATCCTAAAGCATATGGTCTTACGTGAAACTTCACTGTTTTATTTTTTGATGGGGAGTTTTTATCATTCTTTTTGTTACCAAACTTCTTTAGTGTAATTAAAAAGGTGAAGTCGTCTCTTCAAAATATATTCTTATGAATGGGTACATACACAGTGAACAGATAATATAACCGTCAACGACAATTAGTATGTCAGGTGTAGAACGCATGAATATGCAGGACAAAGTACACACTTATGATCCCATTTAATGTTAACTATGTATAATTATTTAAGAATATCCCCAAAGAATTTGGCATCAGAAGTGAAAATACCTAGCTAGAATAGAACTGCATGAACATGTAATTTCCTGACATTCATTTGATCTGGGACATTATTTTGACATCACTTTGGCAAAATTTTAAATTTATTTAAAAGGTACAAAAAATGTTAATTTTTATTTAGTTTTTAGCAACACAGCTATTAATTTATTATTAATTGAGATTGTAAGAAATAGTAGCCTTAGCTATAGTACTGTTTGCCTGGAGCTGAAAAGCAACATTAAGTATCCTCTGTGGCAGTTAATAGATTAGAAAGCAAACTCAGAATAATTGGAATTGCAGTAGCAAGCAAAGAGAAGACAATGATTCAGGGTAAGCAGGGATTTGGCCTGGGAGATGCAGAAATGTCCCTGTTGGTTACTCTTCACCTTACCTCACAAGAAATACATTCCACATAAAGGGAGAAAAGAAAAAACAAAAACAACTTTATAACCATATACTTCTGGACAAATTACTGTAAAGCACATGTTTGGCAATGAAATAGAATGAATAAGATACTCAAAACTCAAATGCAATTTCAAGTACAAGATGTTGTAACTGGGTCTAATGTTATTCAGTTGGTTTGGAAGTGATGAATTGAAAAAAAAAGTTTGCTTTTTATGCTACGACATTCAGAAATGATACAAAATCCACACATTAGTCATGAGTTTTTAGTTTACAGGATGATGGATGAACAGGAAAATGTGAGAAAAACAAAAAGCTTCCATATATGGTATGTACATTAATAAAGGCCCAATTTATGCCTAACAGTGTATTTAACACTTTAACAAAATACACAGTTTTAATTCTGGAGATTTTTTTCTCATGTTAGTTTGCCATTAACAATTTATACTATAAGAATTTATAACAATTTGCGCTACCTTTCAGTGATTCACTAATTACTGGGCCACTGTGATATATAAATTTATTTGAATATAGTATATATTAGTTAATATTTAATGTATGGCATTGGACTCACATAAATGTCAACTATATTAAGCAAGTATTTATAAAACAGGTAACTTGACAAAAGCAGCAACAAGGTTTTATTACACTAAACAAACTGGACAATATACAAACAACTGACCAACACAGTCCCTCAATTTGGAGACTTATTGTACTATTATTATTGTTGGTGGTTTTTAGCAGCCTTTGGAAGGCCTCTTATGGTTTCAAATAACCTATAACTAAATGCAAAGTGGGGGAAAAGGTGACCACTTAATAGAGTGGTAAATAATAACTAGAAATTACTTGCAGAATATTTAATAAATGGATCATTACCTGATGGCACTATAACACCCAGGCTAAATATGTAACAGGAAGTAAAATAAAGAATTGAAGAAATAGCTAGATAATTTGATGCTACAGGTCACTGTTATGTAAACAGTATGCAAACTAAAGTGGCAGTATTTTTGGCATTAAAGTTGGACAAGTGTTCCAAGTCTGAAGTGCCAAGCAGTAAGTCTACCACGTGCAGCTTGACTGTTGCTCCAGTTCCTTTTCATGCACAAGATTGCATAGCATTCACAAAAACTTCACTTTTGGAAACCTAGACCTTTGAGCTAATCTATCAAAGAAGGAGCCTCCAAGACACAATTTGTGGAAGTAATACATCCTTTATCTCTGTTTTGGAGAGTCACTCCTACAATAAAGAAATGCCTTGGCTGCTTTTAGCCCATTATTTAACACGCTTATTTTTACCCTGAAATCATTTAGAAGAACGTTTATTGTCCTATGATAGTGCTCAGTGGAAGGTTCTGTGTAAATTCTTGGGTTAGATACCTTTGACAGTTGTAATCATGCTTCCAGCATGCTGAGACACTACTGTACTTCCAACAGAACCTAGGCCTAAGAGAATTGTGTTTCTCAATAAAGGTCTTCTTTTTAAAATCTTGCTTTTTGGGATTCCCTATGAAAATGAGACAAAAAAACCCTTATTCATAGTTATTACTTTATGAAATTTCAGTTAATAAATTCTAGGTTCAGAATGCTGAGCTTACAAATGAGGGAGTCCATATGTCCACAACTTGTGCACACTCCAGCACTGGACAGATGGTTTCTGGCTGGGCCCCAGCACTGAGTACTGGCCGGAGCACCTGGGGCACTCTTGTGAGGGGGGCAGGCCTGGGGGCTCAGACAGCCCCCGGGCAGGTTGCTAATGGCAGCCACAGGCATGGAAGGAATCTATGCCACACAGTTTCCGTCTCTGAACAATGGTATTTATTTTAAATTATTAGATTCTTTTTTTTTTTTTTTTAATTCCAAAAAGACAAAAAAAAAGGCTACTTAAAGAGGAGAGCAGAGGATTAGGGGCAGAGTTCTTAATGCATGTACCTGAAAAATTCCTCGTAGCCAGCATGGTTGTCAAGATGGCGCCCTGTCAAGGAAATAAGAACGCAAAATCAGTGCTGCCCCTGCAAACCTTCGACCTAACAGACACACAGTTCTTGATAACAGAATCTTCTCCTGGCCTTAATATTAGTTAGGGGATTTTGATGGTTTGTTTTTGTTTTTTGGTTTCCCGAGAGTCACAGGCCTGCGTCTCTCACGGTGCTGGGACCGCCCGCCTTTGTGTGGGCCAGATCCGGATTATCAAACCGCACAGCTGTTTCCCACTGAAGGGGGGACCCCCACACGTGCTGCCACACTGACTTCAGCTTTTCATCATAGGTGTAGATTCAGCATAGATCCTAGTGTAGATTCTGTTTTCCCAAGCCCCAGAAAAAGAATCCTAAGGGCATTGAGGTCTACACATTGAATAGCCTTTGTAAAAGTTACTTTCCTCACATAGGATTTCATTTCTCACCCTGCCGAATCTACTTCCCCGCAAAAACGTAACATATCTTATTTACCTTTAGTTTTCTTCTGGCATTGAATTTCTTCAAGCAGTCCACAGTCTCCTGCCTGTGCATCATGGACGCGACAGTAGAGCGTTGCTGGAAGGCGAGGAGAAAGAGTGACTTAACTGAGGGTGTCTAAAACAGTCTAAGAATGACAGCGTCTTTGACTTCATCAAACCTCTGCGAGTGGTGCTTCACCATATCCTCAGTTTGTAAGTCTCCAATGACCAAAGTTGTCTAAAAATAAAGACTGACTTTGCCAAGACTACTGGTGACTATGATGCAAAATTTGTGCATATAAAGTATAGAAATGAATATCAGCAATTTCCCAAGTTATCCTTCTTTCAGTGTCTTTAATCCCTTTTTTTATTGGGCTGCCTTTCATTTACTTAGCACTGTGCTGATGGCCTTAACATTTGATACTCATCCTTAGAAATTGACTGAGGTCTCTAGACGACCCTCATCTCCACCCGCAAGTTTCACATTACTGTTCTTAGTATTTCTAAAGTATATTCAGACTACTACAGCCACTGTTTTATGCAATGAAACTCTATTCTCAGCTTCCAAACCTCACACTTGTTTTTAATGCTGCCTAATGGTAAATGAACTTTGTCTAATCCTTCCTTCTGGGACACATTTAATCTTGGTGCTATTTTCTTAACCTCTGTTCATGAGTATTGTCAATAATCGATATGGGGAATCCTCATTCCTTGTGTTATTTATTGTAGGCAATATTTATTTAACAATATATGCAAATCAGACTGCTACTTAAAGTGGCATTTTTCACCATGATAGAATTCATTTTCTTAAATACCTTGAGTCAAACATTCATTCATTTTGAGTTTCATTTTTTTCTGCAAAATTTTTTTTTTTTTTTTTTTTGAGACAGAGTCTCGCTTTGTTGCCCAGGCTAGAGTGAGTGCCATGGCGTCAGCCTAGCTCACAGCAACCTCAAACTCCTGGGCTCAAGCGATCCTCCTGCCTCAGCCTCCCAAGTAGCTGGGACTACAGGCATGTGCCACCATGCCCGGCTAATTTTTTTTTTATATATATATCAGTTGGCCAATTAATTTCTATTTATAGTAGAGACGAGGTCTCGCTCTTGCTCAGGCTGGTTTTGAACTCCTGACCTTGAGCAATCCGCCCGCCTCGGCCTCCCAAGAGCTAGGATTACAGGCGTGAGCCACCGCACCCGGCCTGCAAAATTATTTTTTAAGCTATGAAAAAAACATTAAAGGAGAGTTGATTTTTTTCATTTTAGCTCCTCAGGTTTTTGGAGAACTGTTACTTACACAGATCCATGGGTGCTTCAGTGCCTCTGAAGCTGTGATACGTTTGGCAGGGTTGATAGTCAGCATTTTATTGATGAGGTCTTTGGCTTCCGGAGTCACTGTGTCCCATTCTGGTGATGGAAACTGCAAAAATATAAATTTATAAAGAGTTTAAAAAATAGACATACTCCGTAAAACAGGGAAGAGCCAAATACATAAATTATTTCCTTACTGGTGAATTTCTTCATACATTTACTTTTTGTGTAAGTTAAATTGTATCTAAAAAAGATAAATTGATCCAGATATATTCCTCCCCCTATGTAGACAGCTATATATATTAAAGAGTATCTGACAAGGGACCAACATATGTACTAAGTTAAATATTATATGTAGTAAAATATATTTTAAAACTCAGAAAAACAACTTAAGAATGTTCTATTCCTTTCAGAGTGCCTTTGCTTTGATCTGAAAATAAAATTTTATGTAATCTTGGTCAGAGTTGTTTGCAAAACTCAAAGCTAAGAGGTTATTAGGTGTATCAATGTCATCATGCTTTTATGCCAAGATTCAAAATGAGGTGTTATACGCTTTCACAGTTCATGAGCAGGAATAGCAGAGATAATAAAACAGCTTTAATTCCTGTGCCAAAATTGACCCATTGATCATGGCTGCCTGGAAAGCTGTAGTGAGAAGAACCCGAGACTACAAGGGCTTGAGTAGGATTTCATTTCAACACTTCAAGAAGGTTAATCTACCTAATTACAAATTTCACCAAAGTATATGAAAGTAACCAAATCTCATAGCTTTCAGAAGGAATCCATTTTACATTAGCAACTATATGATGAAGCTACTTATAGTAACTTTAAGTTATTTATTTCTGAAAAGATAATTATTTAACCTTCCTTTCACATAATTAGCATATTTAGTAGAAATATTATTCTTCACCGGTTAAGAAAAATGTAAATCACATTAGTTGCTAAATCACAGAATACCAGGTTCTTTTCCCAATTCATGAATTTTTATAGATAATCCTGAAAAACAAAGCTGTTGTTACTCTGTCATAAAATCAAATTTGTCCACTTTTAGTAGTTATAAAATGGGCACTTGTGACCCACTGGTAAAATGCAACATGGGAAAAATGATATTGTCTCTTTAATACCTGTAATTTTGGCCAGTTTAACAATCATCATTTTTTAATTCCAGACGTTTCTCTTTCACAGTTGTAAAAACGTGCTAACTATTAGCAATCACTGAAGAAACACTCAAGGCTGCTGTGTAATGTTGTGCAGGTCTTCTGATAGCAAACTAGGGGCAGGTTCAGCCTTAAGAAAGGGGGACCTTTCCCTTGGTTTTCTCGTTTTCACAAAGCCACCCTCTGTGCTGACCAGGCAGTGCATTTGTAGGGCTCTGGCTGCCCAGACAGGGGCCCTAGTTCTAGTGTGTAAAGATGGGGAACATACTAGCTGTGGCTACGTAAATAATAATTTGGTCCATTCACTAGTCTGGGAAAAACAGAATGCTTCAAAATACATTTCAAATTCTTGATAACTGATATAGACATCCCCCTAAATAGAACATTTTAAGAGAAATGCATTGACAAGTTCATGAGACCCGACAGAATATATAATAATACAGAGTTTTTATATTTTCTCCTTTCACACCCATATTAAGCTTTTCCCTCGTGCACAGAAGGTGGACCCAATCCTGCTTATTCCCTAGTTTCCCTACTGGGTAATACATGGAAAGCAGCCCCAGACCCCGCAGCCTGATTTTCAGAAGGCTGTACGAGGGGAGACCAGAGGACGGGGATAAATCGTATTTGCCGAAATATTTATCAAAGGAGGGCCAATGATATCAATGAACACAAAGGGAAGCCATAAATAGAAAGTAAATAAATCCTTCCTCTTCAAATTCTGAACTTAATTCATGAATGTGTATATAAGCTTACTTTCAAATATTCTTAATTCTAAGTTAAATGTATTTAATAGAATTGTGATTTTCAGATATTTTTCAATTGGGAAATCCATTCTTCAAATGAAAGCTTGCACAGTAGGCCATTAGATAAACAAAGACAAAAAACAAAACAAACAACCACCAAAATTGATATAGTGGAATGCTGTTCTATTTGATATACGGATCACTGCAAAGTATTACTGATATATAATTTAAAATTATGTAATAGACATTTGAGAATATAATTCAACTAAAGAGGCAGTAATCATTTCTGATTTTCGTGTTTTAAAATGCACTACGATCTGAAAATTTTGACAAGCAAAATTCTCTTTCTCAGAGAATTCAAACGGCTTTTCTTTCAATTTTAGGATAGTGAACTAAGAGGAAATGCAAACTGAATACATATACTACATTTTTTTTCCCTCTTTCCTCTCCCTTTCCCTAAGAAAGAGGGAAATAATAAGGGGAAATTAGTGAAAATGATGGTTAAAAGAACAGTGAAAAAATTTGGCTCTTGGTCAGCAAACAAAAAAAAAACAACCCTCATCTAAAGGTATGCGAATACTCATCACGTACATCATAAGCTCCAGCCTTGATCTGCTGGTAGAGTCTGTGCTGGTCTTCATCCCAGAAGGGCGGGTACCCCACCAGTAGAATATAGAGAATGACACCTGCAGGAGACGAGCACATTAACATAAGGTAAGCGACACAGACGATCATAAATTAAATGCGGCCGATCCACAGTGATACTCAGCTGTACTCAAAATAGAGGAACCTGGATTGTTGGAAAACTTCAGAGAGATGTGTTATCATCTATTCCAGAACACTGTGTGAAGGGTGAATTCTCCTCTTCCTACGCTCAAAGGCTCTGACCCTGTGTCAGTGAACACATGGACCAAAGAATCCTAAAGAAGCATGGCAGGGCAACCTCTAAAGACAAAACTCACCTGCCATTTTGAGTCACACATTTTTTGGCCTTCCTGAGATTTTGTTTATAGATGGTCTCCCTGCACTCCTTATCTCTGTAAGCGCTGTGATTTTTGTCACTGCGTAGGTTGAAGTTTAAAAACTGAACATGTTACTTATTTCCTCCTAGTCATTTTGCTGGTAATTAGGACATTTTGTTGAGTGAGGGTGTCCTGGTTATAAATTCATGCTCTAAATAGCCAGCATCCCTGGGAATGTGGATATCACATCAAGAGACAAAACCCTTTTCTTTTCAGTGATGTTAGTCTTCAAAAAAAGAGTTTTTTCAATCAAACAACTAAACCAACAATACTACAGAGGAGTATATATTGTAGGGAAGGGAAAGGAAAGAGGTGGGTGAGATTGCACATGAAATTCAAAGCAGTGAACACATAGCTGTAATACAATTTCGTATTTTTTTCATAAATCTGTAATTAATCGCAAATTAATTCAACCGACATCTGATTTAACTTTAAAAATTTTAAAAAAATTCTGTATTTGCAGGCTTTCACTTTGCCCTGAAATCATATCTGCAGTCTACATGCCTCCTGGGGCCGTTCTGACACTGTGGTCTTCATTATCATCATATGTCCTTCCTGCTACCTCTCAAATACTTTATTCCCTGCTTAAGGTTTCTGGTTTCTTTTCTAGCTCATTATCCCAGAGGAAGGCTGTCATTCGTCTGACCTCTCTTGCTTGCTTTTCTCTGTCTGTGTTTCCTTAAGCTGGGAAACCTGCGGGAGAAGAGTAAGGCGGGTGACACTTTGGGCCTTGGGACGCCTTTTTTCCCCTGTCAGAGGTGGGCTCTTGGTTTCTGTATCTTTACTGTATCTCTAAAACATTTTAAACAACGTTCTTCAAAACAAAACAAAACAAAACAAAAAACTACTGAGGCTCTTATCTTACCATAAGGGAGTTAAACAAAAAAGACTATGGGCCAGGCGTGGTGGCTCACGCCTGTAATCCTAGCACTCTGGGAGGTGGAGGCGGGCGGATTGCTCAAGGTCAGGAGTTCAAAACCAGCCTGAGCAAGAGCCAGACCCTGTCTCTACTATAAATAGGAAGAAATTAATTGGCCAACTGATATATAAATAAAAAATTAGCCAGCCATGGTGGTGCATGCCTGTAGTCCCAGCTACTCGGGAGGCTGAGGCAAGAGGATTGCTTGAGCCCAGGAGTTTGAGGTTGCTGTGAGCTAGGCTGACGCCACGGCACTCACTCTAGCCTGGGCAACAAAGTGAGACTCTCTCTCAAAAAAAAAAAAAAGACTATGAAGAAAATCACAATATACTGTTATCTCATCTTCACAACATAAAAATAATTTTTCCATGTTTCATACATTATAGATTAATATGCATTCATTTAAATTTATTTGCATATCATTTTTAGTATCTGATATAAAGAGAGATCTAATGATAATGGTGATGATGATGATGATGAATGTGTGTGTGTGTGTGTGTCAGGACACACGTAGAACAGAAGCAAAATCTAAGTAATTTAGGCCTTCAGCTATGGATGGGTCAGTGGGTGAAGAAAAAAATTCACTTTGCAATGGCAAATAGTCTCTGCATCGAGCATGAACATTTTCCTAAGAAACATCTGGAGTTCGGCTATTATAAAATTACAAAAAAGACTGACAAGTGAGATCGTTAGCATTCTGAACCTAGGCAGTTCATTCCCGTGGATTAAGTCTGCAGTTGACACACCAGACGGTGGCTTCTCTGGGAGGGAAGCTCACAGAGCCCCCTTCCCTGCGAAAAGCAGCCCATACAGACATCGATGCCCACAACTCAATTATCTGTGTGAGGAATTTCTGCCAAAAAATATATTTAAAAATAATAGCATACGTATAGGAGATTAAAAAAAAATCACAATTTTAGGTCCGAAGATGTAAAGAAGAAAACCCTCCACAGGCACTATTGAGTAGACTGATGTGAAACTGGCAATGCCTAGGAAAATAAACATTGTTCTCTAAGCTTGCTCATTAGACTAGAGTCTAGGGCCTTTCTGAGTTAAGAGAAAACACTTTCCATTTTCTCAAAGCATAGAATTATGAGAGTTGGGGCATAATGATACCATAATATTAATAAGTTTCATTATAGATGACATTTATTGAGCAGTCACCTGTGCTTTCATGCATTACCTCATTTAACCCTGGTACAATGCTATAGGTAGGTAATTGCTACTATTAATATCTCCATTTCACTGATGAAGACACAAGATTGAGAGGTTCAGTAACTGTTTTAGCCACTAGCAGGACTGATGCCCTAAACATTCCCTACAGCCACTTTTTCTTAAGAAAAAGGTTATTTTTCTTATTGATCCTCTTAATTGTCTCATCTTGGATCAGTGTAAGCCTCTTTGAGTTGGCTCTGAGTCCCGTTAACACAAGCCCAGTGGCTTTTAATAGTTTCTTTTCTTTCTAAATACAACAAGACGCTCCTGGATCATCTTGTACTTTTCTTGATCCAGGCATGGAATCAGCTGCTACCACCGAAAGTTCTGGTTCCTTTTAGTGGTAACTGAGACCTTTTGGTATCTAGAGACCAAAATCGAGCATTTGCATATGTTCTGTGGTTTCTCCAAAAAGAGATAAATTGAGAAATGAGAGAGGAGACAGAGGAGTGGAAACTACAAACTAGGAGAAACTTAAGAGACCTACGAGACCAAACCCAATTATGACACATGAGGACAAACAGGAAAAATCACTGGATATTTTGATGATATTAAGCAATTATTACTAAATTTTAAGGTTGGCATTATTGTCATACTTTTTTTCCAAAATGAGTCCTTTTCTTTCAGAGATACATTAGGGTATTTTTAGGTGTGCTGATGTGTCTGGATTTGACGAAGATAAGCTTGGGTGGGGACGAGCGGGGTGTGAACACATGCAGGAAGAGCGGCCGTCGGTTCACACTGTTCTCTTCCCTTCATAGGGTTCGCGTGTTCCACTGCAAAGAGTTGGACTATTTTTGACAAAGTTGGTTCCATATAACATTTAAAAATAGACACTAAAACTAGTTCTCATTATCTTATGTATATATCTGTGCTTGGGAGATGTTAGATATGTCTAACAAGAGTTTCGAGAAGCATCGATGACTGATTAGGTAGAAAGACTACAGCATCAAGAATATTCAAAAATGATTTTAATACAAATGAATGATCACTTTAATGATGAAACATTCTAAAGGCTCTTCTTTTAAAATGGGAGACAAAGAAAGGATGTTGGAAAACTGAGAAGTTAGTGGAAAGTTAAGGGAACGATCTGAGATACGCACTTAATGTTCTCAGTAAATAACGGGGTACACTATGAGCGTACAAGCAAAATACACAGTTAACTATACGAGTGATAAGCATTTCTCTCTTACCTAGTAACACTACAAGCAAAAAACCATAGAGTTCAAATAGAGAAAGTGCTTAACCAACACTGTGTGACCTAACAGGCCAGTGATGGGTAGAACAAAGAGCTAGAGGATTATTCCAGCAAGACATTTTTCAGGGTGTGGAAGCTATCTGTGCCATGTGGTGATAGTGGCAACCTGACAGGCCTCTGGGCAGAGGCAGAGTGGGAACCAGGTAGACACCTGTGTCCATCTGTTTGACAGGGACAACTACTACATAAGAACGAAAGCACTGTGTCATTGGTTCTTTTGGTTTTGACTATTTTAGAGAAACCAGAAACTGACAGTTTTCATAGCAATCTTCTGAGAATAAAAATAAGGATAAATAATAAATGTCAACACATCCAAAAATAAAAGGTACAAACGTCTGGCTGAGATATCTGTGCACCATCTGCAATGGACTGAATATTTGTGTTTCCCCAAAGTTTATATGTTGAAACCCTAATCCTAATGTGATGGTATTTGGAGGTGGGGCCTTTTGAGAGGTAATTAGTTCATGGGGGTGGACCTCTCATGACCAGGATTAGTGTCCTTATAAAAAGAGGCCAGGAAGCTGGTTCTCTTACTGCCATGCGAGGATACGACAAGAAGCTGGCAGTCTGGCACCCTGAAGAGGGCTCCCCCAGAAGGCAACCTGGCCATGCTGGCAGCCTGGTCTCAGCCTTTCAGCATCCAGAACTGTGAGAAATAAACCTCTGTTGTTTATAAGCCACCCAGTCTACGGTACTTTGTTACAGCTGCCTGAATTAAGGCTGTATGATATTCTGTTGTATGCAATGTGCCACATTGTGTTTACTCATTTAATCCAAATGCCAGTGGACATGTGGGTTCCTTCCATATCTCTGCTGTTATGAATAGTGCTGTTATGAATATAGGTATGCAAATATTTCTTCAAAATCCTACTTTCCATTCTTTTGTATCTATGCCCAGAAGTCGGATTGCTGGATCATGTGACTCTAGAGAGTCTTATTCAATGGTTCGGGGTGGATTGCAGGAGGCTGCATTGTTGAGAGGGATTTCAGGTCACTCTGGAGCATGTGGTCTGTGGTTCACAGTTAGGGAAACCATACCTACTAAATCCAGAGAGATTCAGGAAAGGTATGAGTTGAGAGTAAGGGAATATTGGTAAAGACTGTGATTGGGAGTAAAGCTTCACGACTTGAAGACTGTTGGAAATGCGAGTGATAAAAGAATGGAGGCAGAAAGCTTTGTCTGGGGGCGAACCTGAGATCAGCCCAGCATAAGGTAATCCCAGAATCGGTAATAGCAATCAATTGTGCAAAAGGCTTGGGATTTCATAGTGATAAAAGTGCCTGATACTGACTTACCCCAGCTGAAATATGCAAAGGCTAAGCCCCAGAAACCACACAATTTCCGCACCTAAATTCACCATGCAAGACGAGAAAAAACATATTCCATAAAATTCCAAAGGTTTGTCCAAAGTCATGGTACATTCTGTGACAGCCACTAATTTACCATGACTCATAACTGTTCAGAGTGATATCTAAATAAGGTAGAAAAGTAGTAAGACAACACACATGTACGTGGGTGAGAAGGGGCCAGTGTTTATAGGCTTGCATTTACTTTTTTCTTTTTCAGCTAAAGTGTAGAGGAAGCTCTGTTAAAAACCAGTGATCCAGTGACACCTATAAACATTTGTTCACCCCATTAAGGAATTATAGAGGCAGCTATAGATACACAAAAGCCATAAAAATCAATTTACTGTTGTTAATGGCAGAACATGGGCTATGTTCTTGCTTCATTAATGTCTATTATTTACTTTCCAGTAATGGACTAGTTGTTTTCAAAGACTGAGTACAGGTCAGACCATACTCTACGTGAGATCACAAAAGCAAGGTAATGGTGGTACGTATTTGAGATTTCCTGTGTGCACATAATTGCATGTTTCTAATAAAAACAACGTACAAATTCCTTTTAGTCATTATGCCAGTGCTGTGCTTCACTCAGTTCTGTGTCAACTGCCAAAATGACGAAGAATCTGCTATAATGAGTGTTCATAGCTCAATTCCCATAGAAGACTAGCTGCCATTTTGCTAAAAGACTTGTCCTGCATTTCTTTTGTTATCCGAGTAGTGTCTTTTCTTACCACACAACCCCGTGTCTACTCTTGAAAAGAAGGAGCTATTTAGCAAGAGCTAGCGCTGAAAGAGAGTTTCCCTCAAGCCACAAGCAACCAAATAATGCGTGCATTACTGTGCGTATTACAATGGTGATGAGTAAGGGTACATCATCTTACAATCAAAGAGACTTTCGGTGACATATAATAAAATGGTGAAACAATTCCAAACCAATAGCAATGACCAAGAAATGGAACAAAAGAATTTATTATGATGTTCCCAGTGGTGGTGATTTGTCCCAAATATGTGATATTAGAATCCATAAAACATATTCCTAGTTCGCTCTGTGATCCCAAATGCATTTTCTAGACACATAGTTAAAAGATGCACAGTCTCTAAAGCAGGGGTCCTCAAACTTTTTAAACAGGGGGCCAGTTCACTGTCCCTCAGACCGTTGGAGGGCCGGACTATAGTTTAAAAAAAAACTATGAGCAAATTCCTATGCACACTGCGCATATCTTATTTTGAAGTAAAAAAATAAACAGGCAAAAACACCCGCATGTGACCCGCAGGGGGATAGTTGGAGGACGCCTGCTCTAAAAAGAATGGGAGTTGGTGTCAAATATGTGCTCTAACTGGGGCATGGCTCATCGTAAAGGAATTTGGCTGTTGCAGAACACAGTGTGAAAAAGGTGAAAGTAAGGATAGAACAGGGCAAAGTGAAAGGTGGCTCTGCCCACAGCAAAATTGGGATTAAATTCCATGAGTTGCCCTTGGGCTACAGGTTTCTAAAGTGTCAATCATGAGATCTCTGTGTGTTTGTATGCGTGCTATGCATGTTTGCATGTATGGATGTCGTTATCCATCATCTAGCTATATCTAACACTTACAGTTTTTAAAAAATGTTATATAGCTCAGACAACAAGGAAGGAAACGACTCTCTACCTATCTTTCTTCCCTCTTCCAGCCAAGAAAGTTCGAGCCTCTACCTTATAAGTTATCTCAAATTTCACAGATATGAAATATCACTAGATATTTTGCAACAATGCTCTAACTCACAGGCGTTTTAAAGTTCATGCCTAGAAGATACTCTCAGGTAGGCAGGAGGAAGACAAAGCTTAGGGCACATTTGAGACCTTACCTGTGAATTAAGTGGCAATTTTACAGACATTACAAAATATCTTCATTTAAAGAGTACTGCATGTGACTCTCCTACAATTGGATGAGGCTGAAATTCCTATTTTACAGGTAAAGAAACCAACTCAGAGATGTGAAAGAGGCAGAGTTAGTAGGTGCAAGGCAAAGACTTGAATTCAGGAATTGTGACTACCTATCCAGTACCCTACTGCATAACCAGGCATGGGGGCACTCTGAAAGCCCAATTTAAATCAAACACCAAGTTACTCTTGCTAAAGAGATAAAGCCCACAAGAAATGCAGTGGAAACTAATCTATCTCTATGAAGTGGTAGTCATTAATTTATCTACTTTTTAAACTAAAACCAAATCTAAAAAGTTATTTTTAGAATCAAATAAGGTTTTTGTTTGTTTGTTTTAACCAGCTCCTTCCATGCTTGCTGACAAAGGCCAAAGGCAACGCTATCTGTCTGCAGCACGCTAGAGCCAAACTCTGGTAGTTACACATTTATGTACAGACCAGTAGCAATGACACAGTGTCAGAAACTTAGAGGACTCGTTTACGTTGATAACTTTTGTAGAAAAACATTTCATAGCATCCTGTAGTAGTATTCTTTTAGTCCATTACCTTTTTAGAATATATGTTGAAACACAAATTCCATTTTAAAAATTTTGTTGGAAATCCTTCTCAAAATATGTCTTTGGGCTTACATAGGATACTTTTATTTTAATTACAGTTGGTTGATAGAGGCCTACATCAGAGTCTAGTCTCCATAAAATAGTGAATTTTATTATTTCCCATGATTTGCTATTTCACTCTTAATCCCTGCCAAGTATCTTCGGCAAACATAATATTTTTGGATCCGTTATGGGGATAGCAGCATAAATGTATAACCACTGTGGGGATGTCCTATATCCCTGTTCTCTACATGTTCCTGAGACCAAGAGCATTAGCATCACCTGAGAACTTGTTAAAAATGTAAATATTTCTACCCTAGACCTACTGAATCAGAAACACAGCTATCTGTCTTTTAACTAGCTCTCCACTTGATCTTGCTATACCCTGAAGCTTGAGAATTTCCACTCTAAAAGATACTGCAGGTTGAGTATATCTTATCAAAAATGCTTGGGACCAGAAGTGTTTCGGATTTCAAATTTTTTTAAGATTTTAAGATTAATATTTGCATATACATAATGAGATACCTTGGGGATGGGACCCAAGTCGAATTATGAAATTCATTTATGTTTCATATATACTTTATACACATAGCATGAAGGTAATTTTATGTAATATTTTAAAATAATTTTGTGTATGATCACTCTGGCAGAAGGTTCTGAATGAAAAAACAAAAAAACAATTTTGCGCATGAAACAAATTGTTGACCACATTTCACTATGACCTGCCAGAGTGCAGAATTTTCCACTTGCGACACCACGTTGGGACTCAAATGGTTTCAGATTTTGGAGCACTTTGGATTTCAGCTTTTCAGATTTGGAATGCTCGACCTGTATTTTTAATTAAATCAATACTGGTTGCTATAGATTGAATGTCTCTGCCCCAAAATGCATGTGTCGAAATCCTAACTCCCAATGTGATGGCATCAGGAGGTGGGCCTTCCTTTGGTAGTGGCCAGGCCGCAAGCATTTGATTAGTGCCCTTGTAAAAGAGACCCTGGGAACACCCTCACTCCTTCCGCCATGTGAGGACACAAGGAGAAGACAGCCCTCTACAAACTCGGAGGCAGGCCCTCCTCAGACACTGAACCCACGGGCACCTGGCGCTTGGATTTCCCAGCCTCCAGAACTGTGAGAAATAAGTTATTGTTGGTTACGACATCAGTCTATGATAGTCTGTTATAATAGACCAAATGGACTAAGACACTGGTATGTTACAAAATTTCCTTGAAAATATAATTCCTTACCACATGCCCACATATCCACTGGCTTTCCATAAGGATCTTTACGTAAAACTTCTGGAGAGAGATATCCAGGGGTGCCAGCGAAACCTAGGCAAAGCAGAAGTCAATGAGTCAGAATGGACTTGATAAAATCAATACGAAATGGGAAACTGAGACAGAAAAGTTCTTGGAGGCTTCTTTAACACGAGTGATGTATTTGTCAAAATAAAACAAGGCACTCAGAGTTCTAAAATAACGTAGACTAGTTTTTGTTTATAGCAATATCAACATTAGTCTGCCCTGCCCTGTGAAGATGAAAAAAAATACATTTTTTTTTCCGGATATGGAGGCCAATCTATTGCACTGCCTGGTGACTGTGTGTAGTGAAGGCCTCTTCTGGGTAGCAGTTCTTATTGGCACTTAGGTTTATAGGAGTTAAAACTAAGCCTGAAAAGAAATAAGAAGAATTATTCACTAGGAGATGAAATAATTCCAAAATATATCAAAGAGCTCACTGTGTACTAACAAATAATCAGAGTGTACTTATGACTGGCAACTACAGACTTAGGGATATTCAGATGAATCACTATTAAACAAGTATCAACTAGACACGGAACTTAAGAAGAAAATGTGCTGAGAGAAACTAGTTGGTAAAAGAAAAGTTTCATGTTGTATCAATCAGTGTAGAATTCAGTAAGTTACACTGAAATAAAAATCAATTTATAGCCAGCATCTACAGTAAAAAATAGTTCTTATTTCTGAAAATAATGGTTTTTTAAATAAAAATAATTACTTTGAAAATACTAAACATAACCATTCTCATTTGGAAGTTTTCTTTACAAGCACAAATCATCAGAAAAAAAAATTCTTTAAAAGGTTATGTAATCAGGAATTCCTCCAACTGCAAATCACTAAAGAAACACATTGTGTATTTACTGGACTGCAAAGAGCACAAGAAAACCTTTGACCACTCATTTCTTCAACAAATTTATACTTATTAAGTACAAATAACATGCAAAGAAGTATAAATAAAAGAACACATACAGCAATATGGTTAATTCTTTCAACACAATTACATTAGCAAATGAGGCAAAGGATTTGGGGCTCAATCTTTCTTTTTTTAGATTTTCATTACCTTCTTTCTCCTTTGTTTGTTTCGGAGGAAGATGGGGTAAACAATGACAAGGACTCCAAGAAAAGACCTGTACGCTGTAGTTTAAGCTTTCTATGGACCATAGCTCATCTACCTCCGTCTAACGTTTTACTTGAAAGAAATGTTTGATTTATAGTTGTGAGATGAAAAGAATTACTGAGCAATAGTGGTGGTTCCACTGCCTAAAATTTGAGGATAACTTTAAGGAGTAACATGGGGTCTGTTAATTGCAAGGTAGGGATGTGCACGCCTGTTTGAAAGAGCTTCTTGGTGATTCTGTGTGCCGTACCTGCCCCTCATTCCCACCGACCCCCTGCCACTCCTCTCCAGCGAGACCCAGGCCAGGAGACTCCAGGGAGAGACTGATGCCAACATCGGGACTAAATCCCAAATCCTTAGTGTGCACGTTCAGATCTTGTATCACCTGGTTCTCCTTCATTCATCCAGTGTGATTTCCTTCTTCTGAGCTCTCGACCTGCCTAAAAAAATCTTTAGGGTTTCTTGAAAATGGACTTCTCATTCTCACCCTTGATGCTACTTTTCCTGTTTCTGAATTCTCAAATTTTTTTCTCTACTTTAAAGGAAGGTGGCTCTAAGTTATTTTCATCTTAGAGCTCTCTTTAGCTACCTATGGTCTCAGTGGTCTTTTCTCGCTCTGAATTTCGACAACTTGTTAATATACAATCTGTACTCTTCCTACCTGGAATGAGTATGACTTCAATGTATGACTTAAATAACATAGAACACATGGCCAAGGTCAGGAAATGTTAATGATATTCCCCTAGGGAAAGGGAAGTCACTATCTGAATAAAAAAGGAAAAGATTATTTTAAATGTAAATTATTATAAATCTCTTCTGGAGACTAAAATGCTAAGAGAATACCATCATAGTCATTCTTATTTCGTGACAACCACCATTTGGGGAGTCAATGGGATCCTTAACTCAAGAATACTGAAGCATACATCTAAATTCAAGGACTTTAGGAAACAATGTACCGTAGGATGTGACTTCATCAATACAGAAATACTAGGGGCAAACTGAAGAAAGCCTTCTTTAGTGCGAGATTAGACTTTTAAGAATCTAGGATTATCATGATACATGCTATCAACAGGTCAATCAATGAGACTCTGCCTGCTTTAGGAATAGGATACATTTCCTACTTTGAAAAACCAATAGGAATATCAACACAGATAAAACAAACAGAACACAGAATTACTTACTGTTGGAAATGTATCCATTGCAACATGTTGCCATTAGAAGAACCTTAGTATTTTTAACAGCAACTAAACAAAGCAGTTCTCCATGAAGCAAGATCTTGGTAGTTATCCTTTTTTTCCCAGCAGTAAAAGAATGCTCGAAATATATTGCAAATAACATCTCCAGTTCCATAGGAGAAACAGGTTCTATTTGGATATTTCTCTTTGGTAAATTTTCTAGCCATCTTATCAATTATAGTGACTTAAGGGGTTTCTTCTAGCAATTCTGGCTAGTATTTGAATAGAACAGGGCTAGAAGTGAGATGTGAAAATGGAAAAAAAAAACCCAAACATATTTGGACATAAAATAAGAATTAAAAAGAATGTAATAAACAGCTTCCATAATGCTTTGTATTATATACTGGATTATTTTGCATACATTATATATTTTTCCTTTTTTGTAATATTAGGCCTCATATTTTTATTAAAATAAAATTATGCAAAAACCTGAAGCTCTGGCAATATACATAATGAAAAAGTTCTGCTCTTTTCTTATTAAAATAACAAGGCTTTTCTTCACTAAACAGTGATATTACATTTTCAAAGATAAAATTAATCAGTCAAATACATGAGACTATGATGGTAGATAATGATGAATGAATATCAAAACAAGTCATTTATAGTAAAACATGCTTTTACTCTTAATAACCTAAAATATATCTGGCAGTACATCCAAAAGAAATGTAGTACCCCACATTGCCTCTTTTCCCCGCATGTTACCATGCAAATTTACTTTGAACATGAGAAAAGAAAAGGAAAAAAAATGTAATTTTTTAAGTGTAGAAACTATATGTTTTCTACACTTTTGATTTGTTAAATTTCCTTAGAACATCAGGTGCACCTGCTTTTAAATATCATGACTCTAACAGGTGCCTTAACAAGAACTTTATTGTTGATAGTACCATCATATCCATGAGATGGGGATTCTATTGTTGACCTATCATTGTTTCTCAGGGATCACCTTGCTATCAGTTATGAATGATTACAATTTGAAAATCTGTGTACTTTTGTTTGGATGCTATTGCTCTCACTAACCTGATACTCACTCTTTCACTTGAGTCACTAAAACACTTTTACCGTGACACTGTGTTTCATACCAAGATGGTTTTGAAAACTTACTGGACATTGTCTACAGATGAGTCATGCTCCTACAGACTATTTCACTTAGTCTTATAACAGTCCTTGTAAAAGAGACAAAGAGAATAGTGACCTCACAAAGTTAGTGACTTGCTCAATGTCACACAGCTATTCAGAATTAGAGCCAAGATATAAATTCAGGTGTCTGATTAAAAAAGTAAAATTTTTGGCACAAGCCTGTAGTCCCAGCTACTCGGGAGGCTGAGGCAGGAGGATCACTTGAGCCCAGGAGTGTGAGGTTGGTGTGAGCTAGGCTGACGCCACGGCACTCTAGCCCGGGCAGGCAACAAAGCAAGACTCTGTCTCAAAAAAAAAAAAGTAGAATTTTGAGTGAGTCTACAACTCAAATTCTGTTAGTTTACCTGGCTCGGGAGGCTGAGGCAGGAGGATCACTTGAGCCCAGGAGTGTGAGGTTGGTGTGAGCTAGGCTGACGCCACGGCACTCTAGCCCGGGCAATAGAGTGAGACGCTGTCTCAAAAAAAACAAACAAACAAAAAAAAAAGTAGAATTTTTTTTCACTACACACAGCCCTGCCTTCCAAACTACATGTGACCTCACACAGAAGATGCAACATACAGCTCAAAAGCAGGAGAGATTTAAGGAGCTTGATTCCAACATTCTTGTAATCACCAAGCCAAGTCGTTGATAATGATTTTGAACCTCAGTTCTGATAAAATAGAATTCTGCCTTACTCCGGATAACCAGTCATCACCTTGTACCCAGTTTTGGCAATTATGTCTCTGGGCCAAGTAAGTCCCCATTTCAGTATCCTGCCTCATACCCCAAGTCTCTCCTGAACTGGGATCCTACTTTGCTCTAGACAGGACAAGAGTCCTGTCTTTGAACCCAGTGTCTTGGACTTTAATTCCTTCTCAACACATTCCTGTAGAGTTCAGAGATGCTGTTGCTCTGTGTGTCATATCTGTAACTTGCCTGCTTCTACACACTCCCTAGTTCATGCTGTCATCATGTATGATTTGAACGACTGCATTAGCTTAACTGGGTCCTTGTTTTCAGGATGACTGACTTCCGACACCCTCTGCCCTGCTACTGAAACCATTATTACAGAGCATGAGCCCAATTATGTCCCTATCCACTGAAAACTTTTTACTAAATCTCCAAGATAAAAGCCAAACCCTTCAAAAAAAAACATAAAGTCCCTTCTTGCCTCATTAACGACCACTTATTCCAGTACATTTTATACTTTAGCTATATCAAACTTCTTGATATTCTTAAAATAGAATAAATAGTTTCATGCCACCGAGCCTTTGCACGTGCACATCTTTGCCTCGAATGCTTTAATCTCTTTGCGTGCCAGTGGACAGACTCCCGTTCATCCTTTAGGCAACATAAGTGTTAAGGCAATGATTGAATCTCTCCCCATGTTTGTATCTCCTCTTTTGTGTTTTTAGAGCATCTCATGTATGCCTGTGTTAAGAAACTCTCGCCCTGAACAGTACATAGTTATTGATACAGAAGCCTCACCTCCTTGAAGGTTATCAGGACTTCCTGTTTAATTTATGTATTTCCAATAATTTGCTCTCCCCATCCCTGTGACGGCCCCATGACATCCTGTTGAACCCCTAACTCCTGTTCCTCTATATTCTTTATCTGTGTCAACTATACTCTCTCCCAGGATACAAAGATTTATCTGAATCTCCAATTTATAGGAGTGACTCTAGGTCCTACCTTCTTTCCCTTTGCAGTTAATTGGAACAAGCTTATTCAAACGTCAAAATATGACAAACCAAATGACAAGCCTGGAGGTATTAGATTCATCTGGGGTAAAGAGTAAGGAGTCAATGTAAAAGGTAATATTGAACTTCGGAGAGATGGCAAACAAGAATGACTGTCAAATGCCGAAACAGGACAGGCAGCAGAAACTGAAGTCCTAAATGAGGCCACCAGGAAGGCCACCAAGCCATCCACTCCCATTCACTGGCTGGCACAGAGATCAGAGCAACGCAGTGAATCCTGTGAGCCACGTGTACGTGTTAGGAGATGTGTATGTTAGGAATACAGAGGAGCATTTGCACACGAAACAAAAGAAATAAACATGGTTTGAGTCATCTCTTTGTTGTTGAGCTTAAAAAAACAAAACTAAAACCAAAAACAAAGTCTTGCTCTGTGGCCCAGGATGGAGTGCAGTGGCATGATCATTGTAACCTCAAATTCCTGGGTTCATGCTGGGACCACAGGTGCACGCCACCACGCCTGGCTAATTTTTAAAAAAATTGTTTTGTAGAGACGGGGTGGGGGGAGTGGGGGGTGGTGGTGTCTCATTATGTTGCCCAGGCTGGTCTTGAACTCCTGGCCTCAAGTGATCATCCTGCCTCAGTCTCCCAAGGTGTTGGGATTACAGGTGTGAGCCACCATGCTTCAGCTGATTATCTTTTAAAGTATTATCTAACTGCAACATATTGAAAGGCAGAAGAGAAATAAGGCAGGCTTGGGGAGAGGTTATATTTTAGACCTCTACGTGAGAAATGGGTAAATACTGGGAAATGGCACAGAGAGAAACATAGGAAAATCAATAGGTAAAATGATTTCGGCTGAATATGAAAATAATACACAAGCTGGTTTGAAATACCATAACTGAAATTTATTTAGAGTTAATTTCTTCCTTAATTACAAAGAAAAAAAACTTATCATATAGAAATCTCAAAATTATCAGAATTTTAGATAGGAAACTGGTACATTGAAGAAACAGAAGATAATTAAGACGAAACACACACATAAATATATGCTTCATAATATTTTAAAAAATCTTTAATTCACTAATCACAAAATACTATATGTGAAATATTTTGTATTCCTGAGTACCTACAATTTATATAGCAGCTTTTGGCAACCTGTGAGGTTGTATGTAAACAATCAACTTTCTCTCAAATTAAAAAAAAAACTCTTTGAATATTGCAGTTGTCCAATTAATTTTTAGTATAGGATCCATTTTCTCACTCATCCTTTAAGGAAAAAAGTATATGTGTTCTTGCTCTCCCATTAATATTTTCTTTTAAATTATTTCTAGATTATATATCCTTTAATTACAGTAAAATTAAGTGCTTATACAGGTTCAATATCTTAAAATTAGTCAAATTGCTGTTAGTGTGAACTTTTCCATCTTATTTTGGCTAGGAAGTGGGATTAGGAGCCAGAGGTCAGAAGCCAGAAGACTACAAGTAGCATGAAAGAGAGAGAGGCGCTACTCACCAAACCACGCCTGCTGGTCTCCTTGAACTTCTATGGCTAAGCCAAAGTCTGCCAATTTCACAGCTGCTCCCTTGGATTTGCTAGCTAAAAGCAAATTCTCAGGCTTCATTTAGAAAGAAAAAAAAAGAGACTGAAGTGAGAACCTATTTTAAGTGACTATTCAAAACTAACATTTTATAGGATTAGGGAGAAAAAAAAAAAAGTCATGCACTGTCGTCTCTCCTGGGGACTGCCATTCCTAAATCCCAGGGAAAACATAGTTAGAAAATAATTAAAAATTATCATGTGTGCAGGATTCAGACAGATGCATAAATGTACTGGGGAGATACTTGGTAGAAGATAGAATACACTTGGGGAGAGATCAAATTAATGAAAGCACCTGTCTTGACCTGCTCACATGTTCCAACGACCGCCCAAGGTTCACACTTGGCCACAGACGTTGACTTAGAAGCCTAACAGAGAACAGACATTTTCAGCAGAAGGAAACTTGGCAAAATGATAACAAGAGTTGGACCAATCTGCAGACATTTGGCAAATGAAACTTGCAAATTGAATCCTAGTTAACTTCGAGAGTTTGGACCCAAATGTAGTGATTTTGATTTCTCAATGTTTCCAAACAATTTCTGCACAAATTTTGGACACTTTGAATTATGAATTAAAATTGCTGTCTTTAAGAATCTGTTTATTCTTAAAGGCAGAAAGAGTATACTGCTATTTGCCAAATGTTATAGTTAGCGTTTTTTCTTTACAAGCCAGCTTTTAAAACATAATTTACATTTCTTCAAAGTATGATTCAAAGCATTACTTATGTACTTATGCTCCCATCTCAGAATATCATGAGAAAGATACATTTTTATTTTCTTGGGTGTTTATCATGACTCAGTCTTGGAATAAGGCTGTGTCTACACCACTGCTTCCCAACCAGTGCATCAGGACACATATATACTTTGAAAATAAGCTCCAGGGCAAAGTGTTCAATTTCCCTGGACTCCCTTTGTGGAAATGATGGGAGAAGATGGTCAGGAAAAGAAGGCTGATTAATATACATAGCTAAGGGAACGCAACCCCAGCTATTTGGACGCGTATGTGGCTGGATTGGTGTCTATATATGGGAGAGTGGCTCAAAGTCTTCCTACTTTGATAAGCACCAGCGAATTCAGAGGTGTGTCTCAGACTCAAAAAGTTGGGGAACAGTGGACAAGTGCCAAAACGAATTGTCTGAACATCTAACAATTCAGTCAATCAGATACATTTTCTTTATATGTTGAAAAACAAGTAATTTTGTATATTTTTTTTTAAATCAAATTGGCTATTTTTTTCTTACTTGATTAGTCAATTCTGTTGGTTGTTTTGACCTTGTGTAAACACAGCCTAAACCAGTATTTAACTTGCTAATTAAGCCAGCCATGCAAATTAGCAGAGACCCAAAACCAGAGCTGGGAAGAAATTAGGTTTAATCTACAAGAAATCAGAGTGTGGGCAAATAGGTTTTAATTGAGTACCAGACTTCTTCAGGCTACTGCTGCTCACTGCCATCAGATTCATCACTACTATGACGATCAGTAAATGTAAGAAAACTTTTGGTATGTTTCAGGGCTGATACGGGTTTTGAACTACCTCAGCACTAAACACGTAAGTTAATTTGGAGTATGGAATGATGTCTCAAGAATATGAAAGATTTCCATGCTGAAATAAGTTTTAGTAAAAACTAACATTCGAAATTATTTGGAACTCCGTTTATTTTTCAGTGTACTATAGTACCTAATTACATTGAATTATTCACATTTGATATTTTATTTTTATGGTCTGTCATAGTCAATACATTTTTGAGTTTGATCGAGACGTAATTTCCAACTATTGATTTATGGAATAAATAACTTGGGAAAAAACTACATCAAACTGTGAGCAATAGTTCATTCTATTTCTTTGTAATCTTTCCATTCAAAAGCATTAAGATGTCACTGACTTCTCCTAATACACCTCTGTCCTAATTTGTCAACCATACACTCATTAAAAAAAAGGAGTTCCAATCATTTCAGAAATCACAGCCATTTTAGATCTTTTAAGTCAAGTGGTTCTGAAGTTTGTTGAGCAAATGCCAGTGTCATTAGCGAATAAACATTTAAAAAATTGAACAAATTAAAAAAATTGTTTTTATTCTTAGCACTAAATAAAAAAGCTCTGGGCAGTTGCTGTGTGCACTGTGCACTTAAACACCAAGTATCTGCGAATGCAGAAGAAATGGAAGGCCTTAGCGTTTTATCATGCATGACCTACGAATGACTGGGGCAAATATTCATAACTAGAGATGACCTAGAAGACCTCACTGCAGGCCTGTGAGTCATCCAGGAAAATAATAAATCCATCTGGATTAGTGTTTTACTTTATACCCATGAAGACTGTTCAGCTGCAGTTATGTACAGGAAAAGGCAGGGCTGTTTCAAAGTGATTGTATAGATTTAAAAATTAATAGCACTGAGGGGGGGAAATGGGCATTTATTGAAACCTTAAAATCTGTACCCCCATAATATGCCAAAAATAAAAAAAAAAAGAGAAAAAAAAATTAATAGCACTGAAATGATTTCATGTTTATGTATATCTTTTAGGCAACCCTAAAATATAGAATTATGGAATGAAAACTAAAAAATTAGGATAATCATCGAGTTTATTAAAGGATTATTTGCTTTTTGATGTTTTGCCACAGGATTGCTTTAAATGGCAGCTTCAACAAAACATTAAAAATATCGTAAGTTTTATTTCTATATAGCTCTTTGCAATACATCAGTTGGAATAGCCCTGTTACGTTTTGTGAGGGTACAGGAGGCTTAATCACCAAGGCTTCATAAAGCCACATTTTAATCAGGACAGGCAATTCTGACTGTCTTGATTCCCTGCCACTCATATATCCTCCAACTTAAAAAATATATTGTACTACAGAATTTCATCGGCAAGGTTAGTTTAAATTCTGAATGCCTACAGAAAGGATGGCAATTTGTCTACTCTTCCACCAAAGTTGGAAGAATAGAATCTGTCCCCTAATCTGGGACCACCTCCTTAGAAAGGCTCACCCCTACACACTTATCTGTTACTATCCCACTGTGTTGATTTTCTAAGATGAACGAGACAGGGGAGAGCAGAAACGCGGGTCTTGCAATGCAGCTCCAGGTGACCACGGGGCAGAGCACCGTGAGAGGAAGGGCAGCGTGACAATCTGGAAAGAATGTGAACGTGTGGGTTCATGTCCTGGCCCTGACTGTTAATTATGTGGACTTGGGCAACTCACAGACTCTTGGAGCTAATTAATTAGTTCTCGCATCTCTCAAATGAACATTATAATGCTACTAGATTATATCTTGTATCAACATCTGTGGAATGATAAAATCCGGTGGGCTCTCTGTCCCCTGTAGCGACGATACACACATTAGCAATTAGCTATCCTATTCCCCTGCAGCCGGCCATTTCGATGTGCAGAATATTTCATATTTGTCATGCATGCTCATAACTTGAGAAATGTCTGTGTTAATGATAATAACTTAAATACAATCTATTATGCTAGTCTTTCTATATTCAGATGACCTCTAAACTCTCACAAAGCAATCACTTTTTAGGTTGGTTTCTAAATAGAGCCTAGTGACATTCTCACACATAGGGCCCTTCCCTGCTCCCATTGCTCCGGGATGATGCATGATTTTCCACGACATCTGGTCTCAGTGTCAGCAACCATTTATAGCATATCAGCTGTAATGAGCAGCAACTGTTAGCAAGTTTTGTTCTGCATGCACTTCCATATGGATACAATGGCGACTCCTTTCAATGTGATTCAAGGTTTTCTTGAAACGGTTCAAATGCCTCAAGGTACATAGGCAAGTTGTTGAATTGGATGAGACTTGGGAGATAAAATAACTCAGACTCCTCAGTTTCTAAATGAGGTAGGGAGGTCCGAAAAACATGAAGCCAGAACTTGAAGCTAGATTTCCTAATTCCTTCCTTTTAAACTTGTGATACGTGCAAATCGACCAAGGGGTTGAAATAAGAAAAAAAGAAAAAATAAATAAACATGAGATACTGAGGAAATGCCTCCTCTTACATAAAAAAAAAGGTTCATTTTCAAAAGGTGGTCCATTTTCAAAAGTTAGTTCATTTGGTAGATATTTTTAGAAGAATCTGAAGTGCTCAAAAATATTTACTACCCGTCTCTAAAACTTATGAAAAAGAGATAGTTTTAAGCTTGCTTCTCCAATTGTCGTGATCTTTATTAAGGAACTGATTTGGAAAAGGCAATGACCATCTTTTGCATTAGTCATATCACAGGTTTATCTGTGCACATATGTGATAAATATCTACAAGACTCAGCCATTAGGAATATATACCTGAAATCACGTGTTTTACTTCTTTTTTATTTTTGAATATTACAAAACAACAAATTATTAATTTTAATTTTTATATATGATTTGATTTTTACATTCCCTGGATATTATTTTTTAAGGACTATAACTGACTTTAAAATTTCTTTCCTCTATTGGAAAAATTCCAGTATCTGAACAGGAAGTTAACCATCCTCTGCTTTGGTGTGTTTTCAGTCACTTTTTCTTTGCCAAAGAAGGTGTGAACAAAGTTCCTAGAAATAAACATTTTTTTTTTTTAAGTTTTGCATGCATTGAAAGCTTGAAGTTTTATATGAACTGAAAAGCTTGGATGTCAAGCTCACTTGTTTCATTTGTTCACATGGTACAAGTGATTTTAGCTTTTATTTTTGTATGAAATGAATGCCTGAATTCATGTACGAGGAGTTTCTACCTGACATATGTGCTATAAGTTTGCAACTAGGAAGTACCATTTCTATTGCCATTGCGTATGTGAGCAAGTTCATAAAAGTCATTCTGTATCCCATTTCCTGTTTCTTGATTTATTTCCACAGTATTGGCAGACTCTGTCATGTAGACCGAAAGAACCAGAGAGTAGCTCCAGGGGCCTGTGACAATGACCTGCTTCTCCACTGCCTGACATGCGCGGGGCACTCCCAAAGAAAACACCAGAATGACTAAATGAATTAGTGAATTTATCATGTACAGAGTTTGTTTCTAAAATATCTAGACATACATC